TCCAGAGAATGGGGGTGACATCACAGAACTCCCAGACTGTAGGGTCCTCAGAGGCCATCAGGATACCTCCCAGCCTCTGAGCCTCATGAACTCTCCTCTGTCCTCCAAAGGTTCAGGGGAGGTGAGATCAGACTCCCCTTCCCTTCTGTGTTTCTGTTTCAGATCCTTCTTGGCCAGAAAGTGCTTCCAATGTTAGTTTTTCCTCTGGGAGTCTGAGCTGAGCTCCTGATATTTTGGGGTTAGCTCAGAGAACCCCAGTAGGGGCACTGGATTCTAGCTTGAGGCTCCTACCTGGCCCCCCAGTGTGTTAGCACTCCTGGGACTGAGACCACCTGGTTCCTCTGTCCTCTCTCGTTCTCAGACTGGCCCGCAGGCTTTCTTTGCTCTCGAGTCTGAGACCTGGGTCTGTGACCTGAGGACCCTCTGTTGTGGACCTCCTTGATTCCCTGTGTCCCTGTGTCCTCACCCACACGCAGCCAGTTTCGGTGCCTGTTTGGCTGTGTCAGTGGGGCAGGGACAGGGACAGGGAGTTGGGGCTCAGATGGAGGAGGAACCAGGGATACTGGAGGTGGGGGTGGGAGAAGGAGGGGGAGGGGAGTGTGGGACAGTGTGTGACAGCGGCAAGGACAGGGATGGGGACGAGTGTGTGTTTGCATTCGGATGAGCTGGTTTCTGAGCAGCCTCCTGAGAGCTCCTGGAGCCCGCCCGTGACTCCCTCCCTCCTTTATCTGCAGGGATCAAGCTCCCTGCCAGCCCATGTGCCCGGGCTCTGGTCCCAGCCCCTGATGCTCCTGCTGGTGGCTCTCTGCCCTCCCTGGGCCCCCCATTCACAATGCAGCTCTCAGGAGACTGCGGTGGCCCAAGAAAGGGCAGCTGGTGGCCCCCAACCTCGGCCCTCATTCGAGGAGGGTGATACTCATGCTCTTGGGGTGAATAAACATCTCTTGGGAGCTCACCCCGCAGGAGCCAGAGCTCCGCGCTGCCCGGGCACCTGGGCTGCCAGCCAGGGCACTCCCCTGACGGTCCTGCTGCAGACACGTCCCCTTCCTGCCCCAGGCGCTTCCATGGGTCCAGCTTCTCTCCCTGCGCCATGAGCTGGGCCATGCTGCCCGCTCAGCCCCTTTAGCAGGCCGTCCTCCTCTCTGCCCGGCTGCCTTTGTCCCCCTGTCCCCATTGCCCACACCTCTCTCCTCCCCTGGTGTGAATGTGTGGCCCTCTCCTCCTGTTTGCTTCAGGGAGGGCGCCCACCTTGGCTCTGGTTATCAGATTCTGCAGCAGTGGGCCCTGTGCCTCCCAGGTGGCCTGTCTGGTCCCATGCCTGCTCTGTATGCCAAACCCTCCTTTGGTCCCACGTGCCAGCCTCGGGAGAAAGGAGGTGGGGCTTGGC